CGCTCATATAGAGAGAAGATACCAGGAGACGTACGTGAGTCATATACGATGTAGAGAGCCAGAGAGGGCAGACGCCAGGCGGGTTCCAATATGGACGAAACCTAGGCTGTCGTATGTAGTATGTATGTATATATTTTGTATGTGATCGTAGTTACTAAAAAAGTCCTAATCAACAACGAAGCTGCGACTACGTCATATCTACTGGTGGTTACAAGACGCTGCTACAATCTGCTATTTGCTGACGAAATAACGCTGCTACTGCATGCATTTGCTACAATCTACGGTTGCTACAACTCTACGCTGTCGACGCTACAGAATTACCCGAAGTCCTCACACTTCGCAGAATCGCAGTACAATACAAACATCGATGAACTACGCAGTTTGCTGCAGTCTAAAAAAATCGGCATTAAATTGACTGGATTCGTTGGATGGATTAATTTTACTGCGCGCGTTGTGATTTAAACTCGAAACCTTGTATAGGGTTAATAAATATCAGCTCGTGTTGGGGGTAGCCGCACGATGACTAATGATGTTAGAGAGACGAGAGATCCGCGTTACTAGATGCAGATTTAATCACGCTGTCTAGTTCCGTGAACGCACTTAAACAACAGCTAGCGCGTTCGATTTCAATTCAGAACGCGTCCTCTACGATTTCATCTTTCCTGCGATATTTTCTTCGGTGTTTTAAACGCGGACGGAACCGACCGTCACCTTCATGTACATCTACTGCGATCTACGGGCAGTCACCCCGTGATCTATATAAATATATATCCCTGTGTTGTAAATTCGTGTGGTGCTTTTCACCTGATATTAGTCCTCGAGCGTTTTATCACTAGAAGAAAGCCGAGAAGCATTCTAAGGAACATTCTAGATTGTGGTGTTTAGCGTGTCATTACGTGGGGCGGTTGGGTGACGCTGTGCGATAGAATAAGAATGAGGTGCGAGATGAACTATTATGTCTACGTTCGTTTTTTCGATTTCTTTCGTATGAATCGCCAACGGTGGAAGTAGATAATAATTGAAGGATAGATTCGTTGGCGAGTGCGTGTGTGGGCGGGGCGGAGCGGGGAGTGAATGAATGGGTGGGCGGATGGACTGATTGATGTATGTATGTACTATCAGAAGTAGATAATAGGGAGATCCCTATCTGAAGGGGGTTTCCCTATTATTAGAACTAGATAATAGGGAATTATTTCCCTATTATCTACTTCTGCTATTATCTACTTCTGGTACTATGGCTTAAAATACATTTTAAGCGCGATTGAATTCCAGCCAATCAGAACAGTGGTTTTTAATCGCGATTAAAATAGATTTTAAGCGCGATTAAATTCCAGCCATTTAGAATAGTGCTTTTTAATCGCGATTAAAATAGATTTTAAGCACGATTAAATTCCAGCCAATCGAAGCAGTGCTAATTTATTGTGACAGTAATACCCAATTATATAGAGCGACACATAGTTTGTTGTGGGTAACAACGCAACAGCTCGTTTATTGTGGGTATGCCGTATGGCGGGAATACGTGAAATGCAAAGAATTCACCAATCATTTTGTAATAGAGCAAACTTGATGCTTGCTGCTTCGACAGACGAGACGGCCGAGTCTAGGCTCCACCAGCTTCTCCCCCTCCTGCTTCTCCACTAGCTTCTCCCTTCTCTCTCTCCTCCTTCACCAGCTCCCTTCTCCCCTCCTTCTCCTCTTCCTCCTTCTCCACCAGCTTCTCCCCTTCTCCTTCTCCACCAGCTTCTCCCCCCTTCTCCACCACCTTTCTCCCTTCTCCCCCTCCTCCTCCACCAGCTTCCTTCTCCCTTCCTCCTTCTCCACCAGCTTCTCCCCTTCTCCTTCTCCACCAGCTTCTCCCCCTTCTCCACCACCTTCTCCCTTCTCCCCCTCCTCCTCCACCAGCTTCCTTCTCCCCTTCCTCCTTCTCCACCAGCTTCTCCCCTCCTCCTTCTCCACCAGCTTCTCCCCCTCCTCCACCACCTTCTCCCTTCTCCCCCTCCTCCTCCACCAGCTCCCTTCTCCCCTTCCTCCTTCTCCACCAGCTTCTCCCCTCCTCCTTCTCCACCAGCTTCTCCCCCTCCTCCACCATCTTCTCCCCTCTCC